ATTATTTAAGGTTCTGGTTGCTGCTTCCTTGGTTTTGTTCAGCAACCTCCTGATAGACGGTCCGCTCCGTCAGGGCAGGCCTGGGCTCCTCTCAGCGCTCTGTTGTAAGACTTTGGCTTTAACAAGAGGAGGACAAAGCTCCCTGTGTAACCTCTGTCTGCTTGGAAAGGGAGAGGTCCTGGTCACTGGGCTCCCTTGGGCGGGGGAAACAATTCCATGAGGAAATTGGGTGAGGGTTGTGGTCAGCAGCTATTCTGTAAACGCTGATACCACCATCTGCTCCACTCTGCTCTGCTGGGAGGGACACGGTCCTTACAACACTGTGCCAGACCTGCACCTGGATAGAAATTCCATTGTGGAAAAAGCCAACCCACCCAACAGCCCGAAGGGAACCAGCCCTGCTATGATTTTGTGTGTGGAATTGGCTCCTTGCTGCTGTCACTGCTGCGGGAGATGAGATGTGCCCCACAGTGATGAAGGCAAAGACCTGTGTGGGTAACTCACCTGTTCTCCAGGGAAGCTGCTGTTTGGTTTGGTAGGAATCTACAGCTGAGGCTGTTCCTGTGTTTGCTTTCTAAAACAGCAGAGATCCTGTAAACACTTGCCTCTGGCCGTTTGTGCTCAGTTTTTACATGAGCTGGAGGAGCCTCTGCATCGGCTCTGCCTTTGCAAAGGACAGACGCAGGGGGGTAAGATGGTTGTTCTGTCACAACGAAAATAAAAGCAGTAGGTCACCAGGGTCTGAAATCTTTCTTGCTTCCACAGGAAACCTAAAACAGGAATCCTGATGCTGAACATGGGAGGCCCAGAGCGACTGGACGATGTCCATGACTTCCTACTGCGTCTCTTCCTGGACAGAGATCTAATGACGCTTCCGGCTCAAAAGTGAGGACCGCTGGGATCTCCTGTGTACAGGCAGTGCTGGGTGTTGCTCTGAGCTGTGGTGGGTGTGGTGATTTGGGTTGTGCTGTTGATACCTGTATCTCTGGAATTCTCCAGCAAACTGGCACCGTTCATCGCCAAACGCCGCACCCCGAAAATCCAGGAGCAGTACAGCAGGATTGGAGGGGGATCTCCCATCAAGAAGTGGACAGCAGTGCAGGGAGAAGGCATGGTGAAGCTGCTGGACAGCATGTCTCCTCGCACAGGTAAAGAAACTGACAGGTTTCTGTTGCTCTGTGTGTTCAAAGGATGTGCTTGTAGAGCAGCTCTGGCTTTTTGATTTTCATTGTGGGATGGTGTGGACAGTGGTCTCAGTCCTGCAAGGAAATCATGGCCGAGGTACTGCAGAAGGCTTGGAGGGAAAGGGATTTATTTCATCCTAAGGTTGTTAGCGAAGAGGGGGCTCACCCTCTAAGGAGGCACTTCTCTCTCTCCTTCGATTACGAGGAGAAAGCTAGATGACTGTGATAGACAAAGAGTGTTTTTATCAGGAGGCTAAAGCCAGGTGGCAGGAGTGTGAAAGCATCGTACCTTGCCCTCTAAGCCATGCCTGAGCTAGAGGAAGTCTACACTAGAGACAGGTGGTTGAGCTTTAGATGGGAAGAAAGGGGAACGTATTTCATGTGAGCAGCTAGGGCTGCAGAGGAGGGTTCGGAGTGGTCACCGTTTCAGGACTGAAGAAGAGGTTGGTTGGAAGCGAAGACAAGGTTTTGTAGATGAGCACTGAAGGGCTTGGCTGAGCGATAGCAGCGAGCCCCACCTAGGGACACTGAGAGATAAGGCTCCTCGTTGGGCTGGGGTGGAAGCAGATGCTCTCTTTGACAGCCCTTCCCTCTCCAGATCACAGAATCCCTCTGAAGATCTGGAAGGTGAAAAGTAATGTTCTTGGAAGGGTAGGACCAAATTTCTTGCATTTGGTCAGTGTGTAACACGTCACTGGTGCCTTCATTCAGGTGGTGTTCAGTCCTGTTTTCCACAGATGTGACCTCCTAGCTGAATTCCAGCTGTGGTCCCTGCCAGTACAGTCAGAGCCTGAGGCCTACTGTGACTCTCAGGGCAGCAGCAGTTCTTAGAGCAGGAGCCCCTGAAGGATCAGGCTTGCAGCAGGTTCTGAAGATAAAGCTTGGAAGGTTTATCTGCTGTTGCCAATGTCCCACTCCCACTTGCCTTTGCTTAGTGACCACTTTCTGTGCAGTCACACCCAGCTCTGTGCACCTCTCCCACCTGATAAGTCCTTTGGAGACACCTTTTTTTTTGCCTGACAGCAGCTGCAGACTAAAGAGTGGAATGTGCTGAGCACTGCCAACCATTTCCTTTGGCATTCCAAGTGACCTTGCAGCCACACAGAGCACTGTGTTCCTTCAGAATAGCTTGGGACAGTTGGATGTGCTTCCAGGCTGGGCAGGTTGGAGTATGGTGTGCTCACAGGTGGTGTTTAGGGAGTGCTGAGCTCTGTTAAAGAGCAACTAACTGCCAGGTGGTGATGGTGGGATGTGAAACGTGGCAAAGAGGAAATAGTCTTTGGGTCATATCTCCCAGATCTGGCCTTGGCAACAACTGAAACATCAGTGTCAGCAGCATTGCTCTCATCCTAAATCCAAACACAGCACTGTACCAGCTCCTGGGAAGGAAAGTAACTAAATCCCAACTGAAACCAGGGCAAGGTGTCACTCTCAGTTCCAGTGGTTCTGTCTCTAACATGTGTACAGACACCAACATCTCTCCTCTGCTGCCTGTGATCCCGAACGAAACGCAATACTGCCTGAGTGTTGCTTCCAGTTTAGCCATGTTTTTTCCCAGTATGTCCTTTCCCAGGTTAAACTCCTCCTGTCTCTGCCGTGGTTAGTCAGACTTTTGTCTTTAATGCCATTTAAAAATGTTAATGAGGTTACTGGCTCCAAGGGCTCCCGAAGTCGGGTCATTATTCGGGTCATTATTCGCTGCTTTATTAACCAGCTGGGAGCTCTCCTGCCTCCTGCAGAGAATTGGGTCTGGCTAAACCTGTTTTCTGAATCCTGCATAAATGTGTGGAGTGGAGCCCAAGCACGGGACATCTGCTCCCTTCAGAAACCTGCTCCGTGTTATTTCAGAGCCAGTGACCCGGAAACCCTGGAAAAGAAACTTGGCTTTTGTTCTCCTAAGAACCTCTGTCCTCCACTCGAAAAAACAAAACAGCAAACCTCCCCTCCTTCCCCCCTAACCAAGCCATGCTTCCAAAGCTGACTCCCAAAAGATTAGGGATGGAAAATGGAAGAACCTCAGAGAGAGTAATATTGCCTCCAAAATGAAGTGTTTAAAGCCATGGAAATTTCTGTGAAAGCCCCAAAACCAGAATGGGAGAGCGTGTCCCTGGTCCCTGACTCAGTGTCACTGCTCCCCTGCCCCAAACAGTAGTCCTGGTCCCTGGGGTTCGGTGCCATGGAGCAGGAGTGCTGGGCTGGGGGGAGCAGCTGGAGCTGTGCTCTGTGTGGGGACATCGAGTGCTCATCAAGCATCTCGTGGTGACACTTTTACCAGTGCATCCCTTGAAATCAGTGTTTGCCCAGTGAAGCCTCGGAGCTCTGTCCTGGCTGGAAACCACACCTCTGCTAAACTTGGGAAAGGCAGGTGAGTTACTGAGAGTTCTCATCTTTCTTCTGCAATTTTGGCAGCACCTCACAAGTACTACATCGGCTTCCGCTACGTCCACCCGCTGACGGAAGAGGCGATCGAGGAGATGGAGAAGGATGGGATCGAGAGGGCTATTGCCTTCACCCAGTACCCCCAGTACAGCTGCTCCACCACAGGTGAGTGCCTGAGCAGGGCAGGGGCAAACACAGGTGTGCAGGAACTTGGATCAACCATTTCAACCTGGATAAAATTGGTGCACTGTATGACCTTGGATGTGATCATTCCCATTTGAGGCTCTCGGCTCTGATTAATGGTAGCATGTTAATTACATAGCATTTCAAACATGATGATACCTTGGTTCCAGGCTGTTTCAGTCTGACAGGTTGCTGGTGGCCTGGCTGAACTCTTAATTCTCTGTGTTTCAGGAAGCAGTTTAAATGCCATTTATCGCTATTACAATGAGAAAGGGGAGAAGCCGAAGATGAAGTGGAGCATAATTGACCGATGGCCCACGCATCCCCTTCTCATTCAGGTGTGGATTCGAAGCCTTTGAGATTTATATATTTTCTTTTGAAGAACAGAAAAAAGGATAGGGGGAAAGATAACAGGAAGGACAATAGGAGGCTTCAGTTTGAGGGTGATGCTCCCCAGACAAGCTGCCTGAGCGCTGTGCACGTGGAAGGGAGTCGGGAAGGTCTTAGGGCCATGTGGAACATGGAAGCTGCCTGTCTGGGTCAGTGGGAGCACTGATGCCTCACAGTGAGAATGTTTCTCACTCAGGTCTTTGCTGTTTTGTCTCTGAGCAGTGCTTTGCTGATCACATCCAGAAGGAACTGAACCTGTTCCCACCTGACAAGAGGAAAGATGTGGTCATCCTCTTCTCGGCCCACTCGCTGCCCATGTCGGTGAGTTACCTCAGGTTTCCTGTGGCTGTCAGCCCAGAGTCACCCTGGCTGGGCTGAGGGGAAGGTGTGAGGCTTGTGCATGGGGCACTGTTGGGGAAGGGCCAGGCAAAGAGAAAAGAGAAGGAGCAGGTGAGCTGGAAGCCTGACACAGAGCTGCGGGCAAGGCACGTGAGCTGTGAGCGCTCTCCTGCACTCGCAGCTGCACCGCTGCTCTCCAGTGGAGAGGGGGCACTGGGCTGGGTCAAACCCAGTTGTTCTCCCCTGAGATGAGCCAGGCACTCGATACAGCCCATCCCAGCAGAGTGCTCACCTGTGCCAGCCTTCAGGTGGGCTTTGTCCAGATGTGTTCACTGGAAGAGATGGGTCTGGTGTGTTTGTGTTGAAGGTGGTGAACCGTGGTGATCCCTATCCTCAGGAAGTGGGAGCTACTGTCCAGAGAGTCATGGAGAAGCTCAACTACTCCAACCCTTACAGGCTGGTGTGGCAGTCCAAGGTATGTGCTCAGGGGAGCTGAGGCAGGTGAGCCCTGTGCAGGGCTTTGCTGAACTGGAAACAATACACCTTTGTTTACATTCTGATTTGTTTTAATGGGAGTCTTGTTCAGGCCAGCTCAGGCTCTGTTCTGTTGGGGTTTAGTGGTGGGAAGTGTGCCTTCATGAGGCATTTAGTGGAAGAAGTACAATCAAAAACAGGGAAACACAAATCACTGTGTCTCATCTGTCATCTGGTCTGTGCGGTCCTGCCTAAGAACATGTGGGTGCTCTCTGTAGAAATTATTTAATGAGGTTTTCTTTCTTTATTTTTGCTCCAGGTTGGACCAATGCCTTGGCTCGGTCCCCAGACAGATGAGACCATTAAAGGCCTGTGCCAGCGAGGCAAGAAGAACATGTTGTTGGTCCCAATAGCATTTACAAGTGACCACATTGAGACACTGTATGAACTGGACATCGAGTATGCCCAGGTTTTAGCCAATGAGGTGAGTGGTGTGTGGGTTTGTAGCTGTTTGGGCAGTGCTGCTCTGAAGTTGCTTCTCCTGGGTTGCAATTCGCTCTGTAACTTCTGAACGACGCCGGAAGGTTTTGAAGGCTGCACAGTGAAGGATCTAGCAGAATTAACTCCTTTCTCCTTAATTTTGTTTCAGTGTGGAGTTGAAAACATCAGAAGAGCAGAGTCTCTCAATGGAAACCCACTGTTCTCCAAGGTGTGTGCTTTGTTGCGGTAGCTGTAGGGGTTTGCAGTTGTATATGGATGTCTTCTGGTAGTTCTAATGTGTTTTGGGTTGAAGAGCACAGAGTGTTTTCTCTCAGCAGAGCGTGTGGTTTTCCCTTAGCAGGGGCACGGGGTGGGTTTGGGTTGTGCAGCTGCTTTGCTCCCTCTGACTGTTGCCACACTCCCTGCAGGCCCTGGCAGACCTGGTGTGCTCCCACCTGCAGTCCAACGAGATCTGCTCGCGGCAGCTCACGCTGTGCTGCCCGCTCTGCGTGAACCCTGTCTGCAGGGAGACCAAAGCCTTCTTCACCAGCCAGCCACTGTGAGGGGCGGAAGGCCCTGCGCCCCGCGGGAAGCTGCCCTGGAGGAGGACCTGCCCCAGGCAAGCAAAGAGGTGGCTGGAGCAGCCTCTCTCTTGTTATACTCACAGGCTGGTGGGCTCGGTGCTGCTGACCTCCCTCTCAGCACAGAGAACATAACTTTGGTTTGGGTTTGCTTATGTTTTATTTCTTTGAGAGGAGTTTGTAGAAAGTAGGGGACTAAGGGCATTTATATCCTGTCGGATGTGAGGAGACCTCGTGTCGTCTGACCCCCGTGGGACTTGGCATGAGCCCAGCAGTACGCACTGAAAAACTCACACGCCTTTTGCACCCAGGAGTTCTGTTTCTATGCAGGGATTTACCGGCGTGCCGCTTGGGCACGCGTGCGTTGACTTCAGGTTGCCAGGTCAAGTGTACGTTTGGTTTGGGTTTGCTTAAGGTGCAGTCACTAGTTATCCCTTCTGAGAGGGACTTTGCAGCTGGAGATCAAGTTACATTTAATGCTTTTTAATAATGTGTATATATTATTTTTTTAGAACATAAGGGTAAGGCTTTGTTTTGCTTTGGTTTTCTTCTCCCAGAAACTTCCAGTGAGAGCTTAGCTGGGACAGTAGAACGCACAACACTTGTTTACATTTTTAGAAAGAACATGCATTATCTGCAGGAAAGCATTTGAAGAGCGTGATTTAAAAGAAATTAGCCTGTTTGGGTGATGCTCCACTGGAACTGTGTGTTTCAAATCTACAGGACCATGCATGGAAACATGTTGGCTTATCTGTTAAGCAGAATGGCTCTTTAAATTATTATTATTTTTATTAAAAAGGGCTTTCTCTGTTGGGTTAGGTAAATTTAAAAAGTCAGGCTTGGTCTCCAGGAGGTTTATAGATCTGCTCTGTGCTTTCTGCTGCGCCACAGCGCTGTGGTTTTTGTGGGATACCCGTGGAGTGCCATAGGCAGGATTGATCCAGCTTCTCTGATGTTATTTAAGCAGAAACGATCAGTCAGGAGCGATTTGCATTGCAGATGCCTGAAAGCAGGCAGCCAGGTCACTCCTGGGCCAGGAGGGGCTCTCCTGGAGGGCTGTCACACCTGAGCTGGGCAGAAGGACCCTGGCACCTGGGTCAGTGTCCCCTCTGAGGCACAGGGACCTCTGCCCTGGGTGGGAGCGAAGCTGTGAGCGAGTTCCGTGGGGCTGAGCCGCACGTCTGGGAGTCTGGCTGGGTGCACATGTGTACTTGATGTCCTCAGCGCAGACGTGCAGGACTGGGGCAGTGCAGGCTGCTTCCTGGGAAGTGGTGGTGGCTGGGAAGCAGATGCCATGCTCCTCAGCCAGGCTGGTCTGCTGAGGGAGCCGTGAGGCACGAGCAGTTTGAACCTCTGAGCTTTCAGGGCTGTTTAAAGAGAGGAGAGGCTTCTCGTGGTGTAAGGGGGTTATCTGTTTTGTTGGAAGAATTAAAGATGGGATACTAAAGGAACGGATGGATGCTGTGTTGAGCAGCCCATGGGGCAGGTGCTGCTGTGCAGAGGAGCAAATCCCTGATGCCCCTGGAGAGTTGCTTGCCATGCCTGCTTCCCAGGGGGAGGCAGACTGAAATTCCCTCTGTGCCAGAACCTCCTGCTGTCCCTTGCAGAATGAAGTCTTCCTTGACCCTTCCTGCCTGTGCCTGTTTCAGTGGCAGGGAGCCAGAAGCCTCTCCCTCCCTTGCTCTGTCCTTGGTCTCAGTTTGCTGCCTTGGCGGGGAGAAGGAACACAAATGTCCAGTATGTCTGGGAACCTTGGCCTTATGTCTCTCATGAGACAAAGAACTTTCTCTGTTCCCACTTCTCTGTGTGACACTTAGGGGTCAGTGGAAAGCAATCTGGTTTGTCAAATCTTCCTGCTCGCACCTCTTCTCTCCCAGCCGGAGGGGACATGGACCTTCAGGTGGTCCAGGTTGTGGCCAGCACATTTATGAGTGTAGAAAGCAAGGGTTAAATTCCTGTAGACCTTGTGACACTATGAGTACAGACTGGCTTTTCATTTCCATACTGGAGAGTCCTGAAAATGCTGGCTGGCACTGATTCTGAGACATTACCTGTGTCCCCAGTAACGAAAGGTACGTAAAATTCACTTTTGAGTGTTCTGACCACAAGTGGGAGAATTCTCTGTTGCTGCTATTAGGCCATCATATGGAATCAGTTTTCTAGCTTTTAGCAGATGAGTCCTATCCCAGGCGAGCTGGTGGGACTATGTGTTGTCAAAAGACAGCTTTAATACAGGTTTCTGGTAGTTCCTCATTGTTTCCTGCCAGCCTGCACACTGGGTTGGCTGAGTTCCACCCCATTGCTGCCTCTGGCCATGAGTGTGGTGCCCCAGCTCAGAGGCTGTTGCTTCTGCTGCACGTGTCTGCCGTGAAGGGAGATGTTCTGTTCGTGTGCCTTCCTTAGTCCTCTGCCAGCAATGTGCAGCTGCTGAGTTTGCAGTGTTATTCCTGCCCCTAAGTGTCCCATTTGCCCCTCTGGCAGGTTGTAAACCTTTGGTGCTACTCACTCCAGACCTGGTGTCGCCAGATCCTGAGCACCTCCTGCTCTGAGCGTGTGGGAGTGTCAGCATCTGGGACACTCTGGTCCTTGGACAGCAATGCAGTTGGACTGCTGTTACCAGTGCACTACTGTGCAGCACTTGATTTCATTTGCAAGTGTTTCTCGCTTACATATCCCTGGCACAAAGCAAGCAGTGGGCAGTGAGCCTGAGGGATGCGTGAGGCAGTGCTGTATCCCAAGGTTTTGTTGGCGAGAGCGCAGTCCTCAGGCTGAGGATACCAGCTGGAAATTGAGGAGCTAGGAACGGCCCATGGTGTCCTGAGGAAAGAAATGGGAAGTAAAGGGGGTGAGGTTGTTCTGATTTACCTCTCTGCAGTTTGGCTTTTTTTTTCTCTTTATTGTGTTGAAGTTTTTCCCCTCTGATTTTCTTTCTCACCTCTCCTTGGTCCTGGCTGCATTTCAGGAAAGGTGAGAGCTTCCAAAGACAGGGCTGTGAGGTCTGTCAGCTGGGCTCTGGCTCTCCCCCAGAGAGTTCAGTGGGGCTTTCCCTAGGAGCAGCTAAAAGCTCAGTGTACTCTACCTTTCCACCACCCCAGAGGGTTGGGAATCACTGTGAAGTGTAAGAGGCAAGAGAGAGAACATTTCTTTTGAGGGTTTGTGTTTGTTTTTGATGCCTGATGTGTACAGATACTTGCTTTTAGCCCAACATATGCATTTTGGATTGACCAAGGACTTCCACTTGATGTAACACAGCAAATGTGGATAATTTTACTGTGTGTGGTTTGCCGTAAGGATGGAATCTCGATTAAAGTGTTTTGGAAGAAATAACCAAGCTGTGTGTCTTCCGTAAGAGCCCTGTCTGCTGGTATTTGGGGTCCTCTCTGCCCCCCTGTACCAGGCTGGGTGAGTTACACCCCAGACAGGCTGGGGCAGATGGATTTCCCCTGGTTTGGGATCCCACCTGTGATGGGGAATTTATTCCCTTCGGTCTCTGGGCAGCTCGTTGCTGATGTTAAAAATTAAGTGCTCGATTGATTATTTTCCGGAGCAGTGATTGGAGCTGTTGGATACTTAAGCTGATCCATTAGTGAGCTCTCATTACTGGGTTGTGACGGGGAGAGCAGGATGGACGGAAGGTGGGAAGGACACAGGGATTTCTACATTTGCACCAGGTCTAGGACTGCCTTTTTGTTTTTTTCCTGCTAAATTTGTGCTCAGCAATAAGTTCCAGGAAAAGGTTATTTAATTTGCATCCATTGGCCTGGCTGAACAGCATCCTTTACATGGAGATGGATCGTCTGTCCGGAGATGGATCATCTCCAGGATGTGTGGCCTTTGATCCCCTGCGCTCCGGGGTCGCTCCGGGGCAGCTGCCCATTGGCACTGAGCCCCAGAGGCCAAGAGATCACAGCGAGGGGAGAGAGCATCCCTACCCATCCCTGGAGGTGTTCACCCCGCGCTGGATGGGGCTCGCAGCAACCAGGTCTGGTGGAAGGCTTAACTGGGCCCAGGGTCCTGCTCGAGGAGTTGAGAATTCGTGTGTGGGGGTGAGACAATTAGCTGCTGTTAATTTTGGCTGTTTTGGGTGAGGGGCTGGATGTCCAGGTAGCTGCCTGAACAGTTCTGTTGGCATAACCAGTCAGAAGGCACCTGATGAATTCAACCACAGCACTCTGCTGCCATAGGGCTAAACTATAGCGAGATTTGGGGATTATTGGGATAAACTGCAGGGAGATTTGGGGATTATTGAGTGTGTCACTTAGACTAACGGGATCTCACATTATCCTGCCAAACAAGGTGGCATTTCCCAGGCCTGGTCAGGGGCTGTGTGGGACCGATGGAGGGCACTGGGAGCAGGAGGGCGATGGGAACTGTAACCTCTGGAAAGATCTGTCACCTCTGGTGCCCTGGCAGGCCTGGCCCACAGGTCCCTGCCCTCGCTGCTGGTGTCCGTGGGGCACAGGGTGGGTGTGCTGCCGGGGCTGGTTTTCCTCCTGGAGTGATGGAGAGGGAGCTGCCGTGTGGAATGCGGAGCCCTCGCCCCTTCTTTCCCTGTCAATTTTAAGGATGATCCATAACGTGTGAACATCACCCGCAGTCCAGGCCTAATTGCATTTCTCCTGCGAGCGGTGGCACTTCCAAGGAAGCTTAAACGAAGCACTTAAGGGCTAATGCTCGGGGCGGGGTCCGGGGGCTCCTCGCAGCCAACTCCCCCGGCGGCTTTCTCCCGGAGTTATGGGCCATTACGGCTACGATTGTCTTTTACTGCCTTGGATTTCTTCTGCTGTCAGGCGGGAGGGATGTGTAACCTGACCCAAAGTGGTCTTGTTTGTTTTAATCTGCTGGTTTAATATCTTATGGCTTCCTGCCATCATCCC